GCATTGTGGTACCCCCAAAGAAGATTTAAACATTTAAACACACACACACACACACACAACTATCTAGTCTCAAATCAATAGCTACTGATCTTGATGCCACCATAAAGATATGGAGGGACCCCAGTAGTATAAGTCTGTAAAATTTCAGCAAGTGAGGGCAACTATGGATTTTCCAAAGGTTCAGAAACTCAGAGGCTGGGGTTCTTCAGCCATTGTAGGAGTTAGACTGAGGTATAAGAGTGGGAGAGGTTGAAGAGAAAACATGTTTCCAACAGTTAAGAGTGTGGGCTCTGGCATTTGGTGAAAATCAATCTTGGCCTTGTGCTAATTACCTCACCCCTCTGTGCTTCCATTTCTACATCTGCATGGGAATGATGATAATATTCATATCTCTCTGATTGCTTTGCCGGGAAGATGAAGTGAGTTAGCTCATGTACATTATGAATTACATAATACCATGCTTACCACACAGCAGACAATCAGTGTCAGCTGTTATTGCATGGAGCGAGTACAAAGAAAGCACATTTCAGAGTAGTACTTATTTTAGGATCACTTGTTTCTGAATAATCCTGCCAAAGCTACTTTTGACTTGATTATTCAGAAAAATTAACCAGGTTGGAAGCTTTTTTAAAATAAATCATATAGGGCTTCCCTGGTGGCGCAGTGGTTGAGAGTCCGCCTGCCGATGCAGGGGACACGGGTTCGTGCCCCGGTCTGGAAAGATCCCACGTGCCGTGGAGCGGCTGGGCCCGCGAGCCATGGCCACTGAGCCTGTGTGTCCGGAGCCCGTGCTCCCCAAAGGGGAAAGCCAAAAAATTGAAAGGGCCGTGTGCCCCAAAAAAAAAAAAAAAGAAAAAAGAAAAAAGAAAAAAGAAATCACATAAATTGAATTCATTTAAATTCATATGAGAAATTATAGGAGGCAGCAGTGTATAGATTTTACTATCTTTTATTCAATCAACCTGTACTTTCATTGGTTTCTTTTTTTACAGTCAATGGTAAAGGGACCCTATATGTCTTAGTCAGTTTGGGCTGCTAAAACAAAATACCACAGGCTGGGTAACTTAAACAAGATATATCTACTTCTCACAGTTCTAGAGGCTGGAAGTCTGAGATCAAAGTGCTAGCATGGTCAAGTTCTTGGTAAGGGCCCTTTTCCCGGTTTGCTTGTGTTCTGGGTGGGGAGAGGCGGAGTGGAGGAGAGCTCTCTGGGTTCTTATAAGAGCACTAATCTCACCATGAGGCCTCCTGCTCCCCACCATGACCTCATCTCCCAAAGGCCTACCTCCTCCTAATACCACCAGCATCGGGGATTAAGGCTCCAACATATGAATTCGGGGATACAAACATTCAATCCATAACGCTGTACTTAAAAGAAACATAAGAAACAAAAATTTCAAACTTATGTGTTATAAATGGTTCTATAGAGCCAAATATTTATAAGTTAAAGCTTTAGAAATAAAAGAAAATCAGTTATGAAAGAAGTGCCTTTGAAGGTCAAAACTTAACTTTTCTGGGCAAAAGAGATTTTTTTTTTTTGAAAATTGTATTTAGAGTGTTTGAAGATACATAAGCACAGAGGGGTGAAGTAATTAGCACAGTCGAATATAAATGTATAGTAGATTTAGATTGTGCTGACCAAACAGATGTGCAGGCAACTCTTGCTGTGTGGTTTAGGGTAGGGGTCCCCAACCCCCGGTCCATGGACTGGTACCGATCCTTGGCCTGTTAGGAACAGGGCCGCACAGCAGGAGGTGAGCGGCTGGCAAGTGATCTAGGCTTCATCTGCCACTCCCCGTTGCTCCCCATTGCTTGCCTCACTGCCCCAACCCCCCCAGAAAAATTGTCTTCCACAAAACCAGTCCCTGGTACCAAAAAGGTTGAGGACCACTGGTTTAGGGTACATACCTAAGCCTCTCCAGCACCTCAGAGGCCCATCCTGCCTGCACCCCCCCCCCCACTGTACCCTTCCTACCCTCTCTTCTGCAGTCCTTACCCAAATCCCCATGGCCCCACTGCCCCTGCTGTGGCTACGTGCAAGAAAATGTGTGTGCAGGGGACTTCCCTGGCGGTCCAGTGGTTAAGACTCCAAGCTTCCACTGCAGGGTTCAATCCCTGGTCTCGGAACTAAGATCCTGCATGCCCCCTGGCAAGGCCCAAAAAACAAAAAAAAGGAAGAAAATGTGTGTGTGTCATGGTTGTGGTGGTGATGGGAATCTCCACTCCCATGTCCTCCACATTTGGGGGAGAAAGGAAAGGTGCCCCAGGGATCCCAGGTAAATGAGAAATGAATGTTCACATTAAAAAAAAAGTTTATCAGAGCAGTTAATTTCTACAGAAATACCAGCACCAAACAGGGTTTACTGAGAGGCAAAAAGGGCTTAAGTTCCAGGACACCTTATTCACATGAGCCTTTCCCAGGGGCCTTTTGCACTTTTAGCTTCCTTATCTGGAAAGTGGCTCCCCAAATTGTAAGTGATTCAAACCCTACAAAACCTGGATTGTTTCTGGTCAGCACTATAGGTTAATTATGGGATTCCTTTCATGGACTTTTGTGACTATCCTGAGAACCTTACTACCACATAAAATGTTGCTTCTAAGGAGTAGTTTCTAGTGAGAATTAACACAACATACCACCTGTTCTCAGCCCTGGGAAGATGTCTGGTCCCTAAACTAGGTTCTTAACAAACGTTTGCTGATTGAATAATAGTGAAATAAATGAAGGGAAAATGGATATACTTGAAGCACTTACTGAGTACTTCTCTCTGGAGGGTAGGATTATGGTGATTTTTATTTCCTTCATACCTGGCTGAGTTTCTGAAATTTTTCCACAGTGAACATGTATTATTTTGAATAATTAAAAACTTGCTTTAAAAGTTCATAGTATGGATTTTGTAAACTTATACATTTATGGAGTGCTTGCTCTGTGGCCTTCTGTTACTTCTGAGGATATCAATTCAGAGGAGACCTACATTGCCTTGCTCTCAAGAAATCTATGGTGCCAGTCACTGTTCTGAGCCCTGAAAAGATAGATTACAACACAGCTCAACATTTATAGAGCTCGGTCTATTCAAATAACAATAAGGGAAGGAGAGAATTGGGGAAAGAGAAAAACCTGGTTATCCTCAAGCATCCTTTTATATAGAATTATATGTAAATAAACACACACACACACACACACATCTTAGTGATATACTTCTTTCATCTTACCATAGGAGGTTTTTAGGAGTGGCCTAAAAACCCCAGAGAAATGTTGACTACATTTGGATAAACCCAGCAGATGGATTTTCACTCCCAACTTTAAGAAGGAAGGCAAAGAGAAAAAAAAAAAAAAGTCTACCAAATTACCAAATCTGGGATTAAACTATATATTTGAAAGAACAGCTCATATTTATTGAGTTCTTACCATGTGTCAGGCATTATACAAAGTTTTTTATATGCATTGCCACCTCATTTTATTTTCCTTTTATTTTGACAACATGCCTATGAGATAGGAACTAGTATCACCAATCCCATTTTACAGATGAGGGAAGGAAGGCTGAAAGAAATAACAAGTCACCTAAGGTAACAGAGATGGTGGCTGCAGTGCCTGACTGGAATCCTAATTAGCCTACCAGCTCTTCTAAACCACTCCTCTTCAGGAAGCCAGATTACAAAGAATTCTGGTTCCAAAGAGAAAAATAAACGAGAATATGGATAATTAAAAAAAATGGAATACAAAGGAGTTTCAAAAACAATGTGATACCAGCCTTTCAAATTAAAAAAGTAAACACACTGGAAAACCATTTTCTTTTTTCTTTTTGCTCAAAAAGGCCAACTTCCTAGACATTATGGGTGGGTTATTAACTCATTTCATTAAACTAAATTATGAATTTGCTTTTCAAGTAACTGTCTCATCACTGTCACAGCTCCGATGTGTCCTTTCCTGTTTTCCAACTTCATCTTGGCCCAAAGTAAGAAATGATTCGGTTTGTGTGTAATCCACGGGACCCAGGGAGGATCTTTTGCCCCTTTTGTTTTCTTGGGTGTCCTCACTCTGGAGGCCTGGCATTCCTCACGTGTCTAGGGCAATGCAGGAGCAGCGAAGCGCGGGGAAGCCACACAAAAGACATCCAACCACTATCAATGTTGAAAGATCAATTCAGGGCGCACACGAAACACCCAGTATGCCCAGGAAAAGAAGAAAAAATACCTTCTCCCAGAGGGTGAGAAACTGGTTGATCTCTTGTGAGTGTCCACAAAAAACTGAGCAGGTAAAATGGTGGGCGGCGATCTTTGTGGATCCCCAATCATCCCAAACGCGCCTTGCAGGCGCGGCCTCCGCCCTTTAGTCCCAAGAGGCCGGAGGGGCAAAGAGGGGGCGCAAGGCGCGAAGTCTCAGGCGGTGTCTCCTTCCCCTCCCCAGTGCAGCTTCTGCCCAGTGGCCGACGCTTCATTCATCTTGCAGGCGCCGCGGCTCCAGGGCAGGGTAGCGGGGCAGGGGCCGGGGCCGCTGGGCAGCGCCCGCCGGTCCAGCGAAGGGAGGGGCCGCGCGGCGCGGCGAGGATGCCCGGCCTTCCCTCCCTCTGCTTCCAGCAGGCGCAGCCCCGCGGCTGGGCCCAAGGGCTGGCTTCGGTTTCCCGCAAAGCTGGGCCGCCCCGGCCTCCGAGCTGCCCCGTGGCTTCCACGCCACCGCCCGGGTGTCAGGCCCAGGACGCAGCTTTCACACACACACGCCCGTCCTCACCCTCCTTCCCTCTCTGCAGCCCTGGCAGCCCCGCTCTCCTGGTCCCTTTCTCCGGGGTGCGCGGCACCCTCGCGGCCTCCGCAGGCCGTTCCCAGGGGCGAGGCTGGGTGCCGGACGCGCGCGGGAGCCGGGCGCGGGGAGGGGCCGGCGGTGGGGGAGTGTCTGGCTGCCCCCGCCCCTCGAGTGAGTGACTGGGCGAGGAGGTCCCCTCCCTCCCTCCCCCTCCCTTTTTCCAGGTCCCCTCCCTCGCTCGCTCGCTCGCTCCCCACCAGCTCCGGCTTGCTCCCTGCCCACTCCCACGGGGACGTTCCGTGCAGCGGCCGCCGCTTCTTTCACAGTTTAGTTAGGAGCCGCGCGCCGCGCTCAGTTACTGGAGAGCTGGCCGCGCGCCGCCGCCTCCCGCACGCACGCACGCGGGCCGGGCTTCGGGGGTTTCGGCTCTTACTCCCGGCGTCTGGGAGGAGGGGGAGACCCGGACTCACTGTGGGGAGGAGGAGGAAGAGGAGGAGAAGGGAGGAAGAAAACAAGCGAGGAGGATCCGGGCGGGGGGCGGGAGGCTTACCACCTTCAGCCCCCCCCGCGAGCGCCCAAGGTAAGCGTGAGCCCACGCCGACCTGGGGCGGGGGGAGTTGGCGGCGCAGCCCGCCCGGGTTCCGCTCCGGGCGCGCCCGGGTGGGCTGTGAGGGAGGCCTGCGGGGTGCCTGCCGCGCGGCGGGGATGGGAGCCGCGGTCGTGGCGCTGCCGGCGCGCGCGGCCCGGGCCGGGGCTGCTGCTGCTACTGCTGCTGCTGCTGCTGCTGCTGCTGCTGCTGCTGCTGCTGCTCCTGCCGCTCCTGCCGCTGCCGCCGCCGCCGCCGCCGCCGTTGCGGGGCTGGCGGGGACGGAAGCTGGGGTTGGGGGGAGCTGCTGGGGGCGTCTGCTGGCCGGGGCGGAGGGGTTGGGATGCGGTTGGGGCTGCTGACGACTTTCGTCACATTGAGGCCTGGGTGTCTGGGATTCGACTCCCCTCCCTTCCCATCCGCACTCCCCGCCGCCCTCAGCCTTTCCTGCTCCTCTCGAGCTTTGCCTGTAGCCGCCGTACTTTGCAAGCCAGAGCTTGAAAGAAAAAGGAAAATTCAGAATTCTCTGCTAAATCTCCGAGTCTCTTCTCCCGCTCCGACTGATTGATGTGTTTATGTGGGTGCCGTGATCCCCCGGATTTCTGAAGTTTTGACCTTTTTGGGGTGACTTGTCTCGATGCAGCGATTTGCCCACCTCGATGTATTTATTATTCGTGCCCATGCGAGGCAGCCAGAGGGTGCCTGGTTATTGTACTGGGGAAAGATTTCACTCCCTTCTGCAGGCAGTTCGCGAAGTGCGGCCGCCGCAGCTGCCTCTGGTTTGTTGCCTGACGTCCTTCGCCGGTCTTCCACCCTGCCCCCACCCCCTCCTCGGAGGGATTTTTTTTTTTCTACTTACTGTTTGTGTGAGAGAAGCCCCTGGGCTTAGAGCCTTTCATCTCCCATTCATCCCTCTTCTAAAGCTCTGAATTGTCTCAGGCACGATGGTAAAAATTGGGGTGGCTTTCTCTGCTCCAAGAGTTGCACGGTCAAGGATAAAAATATATACACATAAACACACATTAATCCTGGGAGGTGACAAACACAGTTTGCGATAGAAATGATTGTTTTCCAGTAGGAAGTTGACGACCTGTGTATGAGGTATCTCCCATCGCATGTGAGGTAGGAAAATTGTTTTAAAATAGATAGTTGCTTATTTTGTACCGTGGCTGGAAGACGGCCCTAAGTTCAGCTATTGGAGCAAGTCTGAAAGTGATACACCCTGGTCACCCAGAACTTCACTAAAGACACATATACTCTGACTCAGACTTTGGGAGGGGGACTGACACCATAAATTCCATGTAATAGTTTTTTTTTTTTAAGGAAACAGTTGGGCAGTTTGGGGAAATGACACGTTCATTACACAGACAGATCTTATGAACACTTCCTTACTTCATGGGCTGGGCTCACCTTCTACCTAATGGAATAAGCTTTCAGTTGGTAGAATTGGGATGTACCAGGATCGAAAAAAATTATGGGTAGAGTGGGCCTGGGCTACTCTAGCTTTCTTGGGGGGAGAAGGTGATGTTTCTGAAGGGTCTTTAAGTTCAAGATGCTCAATCTGGGGGTTCCCCCCCTTTTTCATACTTCTAGAGCTGGATTGTAGGATCAATAGAACATGTTCTGTGTTGGCTGTTTGGAAATGCCATTGATCAGGCATGGAAATTAATTTAGACTTAATTATCTATTTTTCTTTTGCTGCTTATAAAATAGTGCCAGTGATAGGACAGCTGAGTGTATTTATCTCTGCATTAAACTAGCAGTTCACGGATCAGAAATGCAGCATTGAAATGTAACCTCCCTTAGTGTTTCCTGCTGTGCAAACTGGGTTCGGAGAACCAGCAGCTCCAGAGGGCTACTCGGAAAAGCGACAAAGACAAGCGGACTCAGCACTTGGATGAGCAGATGCCTGCGAAGGAGTGGGGTGCTTCTGTTGTCAAGCTTATCTCCATTCGGGCATTTTTCCCAAGAAAAACTGGACTTGGTTGGTAGGGAGGAAAAGTTCATCCTAGAAGGATCCTGAGGTTCTAGCTTCCCTTTTCAGCTGACTCAGTTTCAGTGGTTGAGAGAGCTGATAATTTTGTTTTATTGGCTAGTAATTTACCCTTTACCCTCTCACCCCTGATGTCACTTTATCATCTAGCATGGATTTCTGGGAATTAATAGGCCACAGCTGAAGTGGTTTGAGCTTCTTGAAGAATCACAGGGTATACATCAAAAGCTTGTTCATTAATTGGCACTATTTGCTGTGACTGATGCAGAAACTCTACCCAGGAGGAAGGTGGTGTGTCCCATTGTGAATATCATTTCCAGGTTGATGGTGCCTCAGCACTGTGTTGGATTTTTGACCAGGCAAGACTTGACTGTCACATCCTGAGTGGCTTGCTCCAGGCTCCTTGTGGCCCCTTTCTTCTAGCTATTTTCTGTCAGGGAATGAGATGCCCCAGGTTGGAGAGAAAGAATCATGGCACCACCCATTAGAAAAGGAGAGGGCAGGAGATTATTCACAGAGGGTCTTAAGTGTGATAAGTATCACCAGCTTCACGTGAACTTATCGATAGAATTTGGAACCCTGTGAGGCACAAGCAAGTGCATTTTTGGACATCTTATGTTCCTTCTTTGGAATTTTAGAAGCCTTGGAGCTTGGGAGAAGTAAAAGCTGTGATTACTTAGGCTCTCATTAAAACATGAAAGGCAGGGGCTTCCCTGGTGGCTCAGTGGTTGAGAGTCCGCCTGCCGAGGCAGGGGACACAGGTTTGTGCCCCGGTCCGGGAGGATCCCACATGCCGCGGAGCGGCTAGGCCCGTGAGCCATGGCCGCTGAGCCTGCGTGTCCGGAGCCTGTGCTTCGCAATGGGAGAGGCCACAACAGTGAGAGGCCCGCGTACCGCAAAAAAAAAAAAAAAAAAAAAAAAAATCCATGAAAGGCAGATTGCAATAGATCAATATATAATACTTAGAAAACTGAGAAGACAGGGATAGGGCCTGTGTGCAGGGAGAATTGTACACTGAAACTGTATTTTAAAGTTGGTGACAGTTGTGACTTGAAGAGATCGTAAATCAAGAGCTTATCTAAAGTGACATGTAAATTATATACATACATATTTTTAAAGTAGGCAATTATTTTGCTTGACTCCCTTGGTTCTGAAGTTTAATTTTACAAGTTACAATTGCAACAAGAAACAACTTGACGTGCTGTGGTTATGCAGTCAGGGCAAGAGTGGTTGCACGTAAACTGGGCTAGGATGAACATGGAAATGAACACACAGCAGTGTCCGCAGTCACCAGGTATTAAGAAGTCCCTTTTTGGGCTTCCCTGGTGGCGCAGTGGTTGAGAATCTGCCTGCTAATGCAGGGGACATGGGTTCGAGCCCTGGTCTGGGAGGGTCCCACATGCCGCGGAGCAACTAGGCCCGTGAGCCACAAGTACTGAGCCTGCGCATCTGGAGCCTGTGCTCCGCAACAAGAGAGGCCGCGATAGTGAGAGGCCCGCACACCACGATGAAGAGTGGCCCTCGCTTGCCACAACTAGAGAAAGCCCTCGCGCAGAAACCCAAAAAAAAAAATAATTAAAAAAAAGAAGTCCTTTTTTTTTTTTCCTTTTTAATTCATTGTGTTCCTGGAAAATGCATTTCCTAGTTTGTAGGGTAGTCACATAATGTCAAGATTGCTTTCTCTCTATACTTGTGAGAGGAGATGCAGCTGCCCCAATCTGAATAGAAACTGAGAAGGTTAACTAACCGAACTAGGTAGTTAGAGGCAGACTGTTTTGCTCATCTCTGCAACCCCCATGGCGGCTTGTACACTACCTTACACTTGGAGTAACTCAATGAGTGATTGAATTGAATGGAATTCACCTAATTAGTTAAGATCTGTAATGTGTCAAAAACCTCCTTGGAAATGCATTAGATGCGGATTTCCATTTTAATAAATCAGTAGGATAGTTTATCAAGAGCTCCATATTATGCCTCAGGTAGGGTTTTTAAATGTTGAGAGGTATTGGACAGGAAAGTAAACATACCAAGCATAATGTCTTCTCAAATAGGAATTTCTAGTTAGGGTCATCTCGATTTGGAATATAGATAGTATCCGTATTTGACAAATATTTCTTCACTCGTGATTGTGACTGATTGTGGTCTTTCTTTTTTTGTCCGAGGCATTCAGTGAATAACAATGCTTCCTATTTATAGGGTGCTTTATGGTTTTCAGAGTTCTTTCATGTACCCTTGTCTTACTTGGCATTGTACTGCAGCCATAGCACTCAGGGCTTTCCATGCTGGGGTCTCTCCCAGAAGATGCCTGCATCAGGGAGTCGGGGAGAGGTCCTGGGGAAGCTCACAGGTAGCCCCACCTCTTGGTTTACTGGATTTTCTCAAGGGAGCCGTAATTGGTATTCACTGCTGGTCCCTCTAAAATAAAACAAGCAAAGTTGAGACTTGTCTCATGCAGCGAGCACACTCAACCTGCCAGCATTCATTCTGTGGCTCTGCCCCTACATCTGTTCGCTCTCCTTGGGCTGCCTTTTACCTTGCCCCTTTGCCAAGTGTCCCTTTCATCTACCTATCCTTTCTGAAGTGTTTCCATGTTTTTCTGTCCCACAGATTTTCATCCATAGGCTCTCCTTCTTCTCCCACCACCTTACTTTTGCCTGCAAGACTTGGGTTGTGTGTTTCCGAATGACGTTTTCCAGTACTTGAACCGCATCTCCAGGCCCACTTTCCCTCTGACTCCTCCCACCTCTGTGCTCAAGTGTAGACTTTCTGCTTCCAGCCACTTCTCCTTTCTACCCTCAGGGCCCCTCTGCCTTGTCCTACTTTGCCCCCTACACCTCCCTTATTCCTTCCACCCACTTCTCTCCATCAAGCCCTCAGATCTTCCAGCACATGCCTGCCTCTGCCTGTTTCACAGGCTCACGCCACCTCAGCAGATGTGTTTAGCATTCATGAGTTGAAGTCCGCATACATGCTTTGTACCTTTAGAAGAATGGAGTTAGAA